CTACCACGAAGGAGGATTGCCTCTGGGAAAGCAGGAGACGAAGAGCATAGAGAATAGCAGAGTTCTACTGTGAAGATGCTACCCTCCGGAGGAAGGCGACACATATAAGTGTGGTCAGAAAAAACAACAGAGTAGCCTACACTGTCAGCAGACTTAATAATAATTCATCAATACCTTTGAAGGTCTACTGTAGTATACTTAAAAGATGCAGCCCTCAGCAGATATTTATCTCCAAGATATCCATTTACTGCTATGTGAACAGACGCATCAGGTGAAAAAGTCGAAAAAGAATTACTAGGAGATGCACGCCAAATGAGATAAGCCATTCTGAAAAAAATATATATATATAAAACATTTTGATCCAGTGGTCCTTCAGCTCCTGCAGCCCTGCTCTCACATCCTATAGAAGGGAAGGGCCCTTTCTGCTGTTACTTACGTGAGGTCATAATCATTTTTTTGCCCTTATCCTTCTATAGTTCTTCCACATGGAACAGCCTACCCGCTACACATTTTGATACTTGTCCAATACTTTTCGACTTTACATTTTCACTCACTCTCTTGCATAATCAATTTGCTTTTCCTTGCACCTCATACACCTATCTCCTCAGAACAATACTTTTGGTTATTTTACCCCTATACATTTTGATACTTGTACATTACACTTCACTCACTTGCAATATCGATCTGTTTTCCTTTCTCCTCATTCACCTACTTCCCGTGAATGTTCCTTTTGATATTTTAATACTTGTCCACTATATTTTAGCTTTCCCTTTTCATTTCGTTCAAGTGCAAAATTTTGCAACATCTTACAACATTTATCTGGCAACATTTCGGCTTGCAACATCTTGCATCATTCATCATATTGCGAGATATTGAGCTTGCATCATCCTGTAACATCGCAAGCAATGGCGCAGGATGGCTCAAGGATGGTCCGGGTCTCCTTTTTCCCTACTGGCTGGTGGAGGAATAAGACTAGTAGTGGAATAAGAGGGTGGTTGAATATGACTGGTGGTGGAATTAGACTGGTAGGGGAATTAGACTGGAGATGGAATAAGACTGGTGGTAGAAATAGACTGGTGGTGGAATAAGACTGGTGATGGAATAAGACTGGTGGAGGTATATGACTGGTGGAGGAATAAGACTGGTGATGGAATAAGACTGGTGGTGGAATTAGACTGGTGGTGGAATAATACTGGTGGTGGAGTAAGACTGGTGGTGGAGTAAGACTGGTGGTGGAGTAAGACTGGTGGTGGAGTAAGACTGGTGGTGGAGTAAGACTGGTGGTGGAGTAAGACTGGTGGTGGAATAGGACTTGTGGAGGTATATGACTGCTGGTGGAATAAGACTGGTGAAGGTATAAGACTGGTGATAGAATAAGACTGGTGGTGGAATTAGACTGGTGGTGGAATAATACTGGTGGTGGAATACGACTGGTGGTGGAATTAGACTGGTGGTGGAATAAGACTGGTGGTGGAGTAAGACTGGTGGTGGAATTAGACTGGTGGTGGAATACGACAGGTGGAGGAATAAGACTGGTGGTGGAGTAAGACTGGTAGTGGAATAGGACTGGTGGAGGAATAAGACTGCTGGTGGAATAAGACTGGTGGTGGAATAAGACTGGTGGTGGAGTAAGACTGGTGGTGGAATTAGACTGGTGCTGGAATACGACAGGTGGAGGAATAAGACTGGTGGTGGAGTAAGACTGGTAGTGGAATAGGACTGGAGGAGGAATAAGACTGCTGGTGGAATAAGACTGGTGGTGGAATTAGACTGGTGGTGGAATACGACTGGTGGTGGAATAAGACTGCTGGTGGAATAAGACTGGTGGTGGAATTAGACTGGTGGTGGAATACGACTGGTGGTGGAATAAGACTGGTGGTGGAATATGACTGGTGGAGGAATAAGACTGGTGGTGGAATACGACTGGTGGTGGAATAAGACTAGTGGTGGAATAAGACTGCTGGTGGAATAAGACTGGTGGTGGAATTAGACTGGTGGTGGAATACGACTGGTGGTGGAATAAGACTGGTGGTGGAATACGACTGGTGGTGGAATAAGACTGGTGGTGGAATACGACTGGTGGTGGAATAGGACTGCTGGTGGAATAGGACTGGTGGTGGAATTAGACTGGTGGTGGAATACGACTGGTGGTGGAATAAGACTGGTGGTGGAATTAGACTGGTGGTGGAATACGACTGGTGGTGGAATAAAATTGGTGGTGGAATAAGACAATCGCAGTTACAGTTACAGTCTCTGTGGTGTAGTGGTAAGACACTCGCCTGGCGTTCCGCGAGCGCTATGTCATGGGTTCGTATCCTGGCCGGGGAGGATATACTGGGCGCAATTCCTTAACTGTAGCCTCTGTTTAACGCAACAGTGAAATGAGTACTTGGTTGTAACAACGATTCTTCGCGGCGGGGATCGTATTCCAGGGACCTGCCCGAAACGCTACGCGTACTAGTGGCTGTACAAGAATGTAACAACTCTTGTATATATCTCAAAAAAAAGACTGGTGGTGGAATAAGACTGGTGGTGGAATTAGACTGCTGGTGGAATAAGACTGGTGGTGGAATAAGACTGCTGGTGGAATAAGACTGGTGGTGGAATAAGACTGGTGGTGGAATACGACTGGTGGTGGAATAAGACTGGTGGTGGAATAAGACTGGTGGTGGAATACGACTGGTGGTGGAATAAGACTGGTGGTGGAATAAGACTGGTGGTGGAATAAAACTGGTGGTGGAATACGACTGGTGGTGGAATAAAACTGGTGGTGGTATACGACTGGTGGTGGAATAAGACTGGTGGTGGATTTACTAAGACTGGTGGTGGAATAAGACTGGAGGTGGAATTAGACTGGAGGTGGAAAAGACTGGTGGTGGAATAAGACTGGTGGTGGAATTAGACTGGAGGTGGAATTAGACTGGAGGTGGAATAAGACTGGTGGGTGAATAGGACTGGTGGTGGAATTAGACTGGAGGTGGAATTAGACTGGAGGTGGAATAAGACTGGTGGGTGAATAAGACTGGAGGTGGAATTAGACTGGAGGTGGAATACGACTGGTGGTGGTATACGACTGGAGGTGGAATTAGACTGGAGGTAGAATTAGACTGGAGGTGGAATAAGACTGGTGGTGGAATAAGACTGGTGGTGGAATTAGACTGGAAGTGGATTAGGACTGGTGGTGGAATTAGACTGGTGGAGGAATAAGACTGGTGGTGGTGGAATAAGACTGGTGGTGGAATAAGACTGGTGGTGAAATTAGACTGGAAGTGGATTAGGACTGGTGGAGGAATAAGACTGGTGGAGGAATTACACTGGTGGTGGAATTAGACTGGTGGTGGAATTAGACTGGTCTAGAAATTAGACTGGCGGAGGAATACGACTGGTGGCTGAGTAGGACTGGTGGTGGAATAAGACTGGTGGTGGAATAAGACTGGTGGTGGAATTAGACTGGTGGAGGAATTAGAATAGTGGAAGAATAAGACTGGTGGTGGAATTAGACTGGTGGTGGAATTAGACTGGTGGAGGAATTAGACTGGTGGAGGAATTAGACTGGTGGTGGAATTAGACTGGTGGAGGAATTAGACTGGTGGTGGAATTAGACTGGTGGAAGAATAAGACTAGTGGAGGAATAATACTGGTGGAGGAATTAGACTGGTGATGAAATAGGACTGATAGTCATATTCCAATTCCATGGACCATAGAGCTGGTAAAAAGGGGACGGAAGGCAAGGGCGAGGATGGAGAGAACTTAATAAAGGAGCAGGATACAGGTGGAGGCGGGAGACATAGACCGGTGACCCAGCCACCGAGGGTTTGATCTTGGGATGATTCATGTAAGGCTGAGTTAGGTGATCTTGGCAGTACACGCAGGGGCTGGGCTCTCAAGCAGCTGGCTGATGGTGAGTGAAGTGATCTTGGCAGTACACGCAGGGGCTGGGCTCTCAAGCAGCTGGCTGATGGTGAGTGGAGTGATCTTGGCAGTGCACGCAGGGGCTGGGCTCTCAAGCAGCTGGCTGATGGTGAGTGGAGTGATCTTGGCAGTGCACGCAGGGGCTGGGCTCTCAAGCAGCTGGCTGATCGTGAGTGGAGTGATCTTGGCAGTACACGCAGGGGCTGGGCTCTCAAGCAGCTGGCTGTTGGTGATATTTGTTAGTGTCACGTCATTCTTGGGTATTCATTCTTCATTCGCTGGTCTTCGTACTTCAGTGTTCTTCTTACTTCTTTCTTCTGGCTGCTTTAGCAGGCTAGGATGGTCGGTTTTCACGAACTGTTTGGTAATTTTACTTCTTGATGACCTGGCGATGCTCTCATTCCAATTCAATAATACTATATTATTAATATTAACAATATTATATTAATAATATTAATAGCATTATATTAACAGTATAATATTATTAATATTATAATAATATTAATAATATTATATTAGTAATATAATATTATTATAACAAGAACTTAAATGACAAAAGTCTTCCTGTTAATGCAAATTTCTATTCTGTAAAGACTCGTTATACACAATACGAAGAGCCATCTAGTGTTGAAGGGAACAACTGCTGCTGGTGCTGGCACTCCTGAGGAAGACCCGCCACCAGCAGCCCCATACAGGCGCCTCCCCGCGTCGGCCACAGTACCAGTACACTACTGGTACTGTAACAAGCAATTTATATCATGTCTGTACTCATCTCTACAATGATGATATGTAACAAGGAATATATTTCCCAACAGTACTCATCTCTGGTACTTTTGTGGTGGCTCTTATAGGCCTCCTGCACTTGATAGGCCTTAAGCAAAATACCAAACCCATTATAAAGAAGTTTAATTGCGTGAAAACGACTTTTATCTCATGGGCTACTCAGTTAACACCTTTGCCCCCAACTGATCAGTATTTTCAGTAAAACATTATAAATTAAATATTTGTAGTGTTTGTGGAGATAACTGAGTCAGATAAGGTGACGTAAGGAGATAAAGTGGTATCAGAGAGGCAGGAGAGGCACCGGCGCTAGTCCTCCGCCCCAGTCGCTTCCTAGACCTTCAAGCATATACATTGTCTGGCGCTCAAGATTTCCGTTACTTGAGAGGATACTTTGAGAACAGAGTATACTTTGTGATGCAGTGTCTATCAGCCTTGGTGGTGTGTGTGTCCCTGGCGGCGACCGTGGCGGCGGCGGGGCTGACCAGACACGGCAGGACCAGGCTGCCTGAGGGCGCCCAGGACTACCCTGAGCTCTGGTTTACTCAGACCCTAGACCACTTCAACCCAACCAACACTCAGACATGGCAACAGGTAAAGGCAATTGGTTTCTCTTGTGTTTAATGGGATGTCGCTCAATGTGGCAAATTGTGTAAACAGTATTGCTTCTCATTTTATAGTCATGCATGATTTTTGATTGATTGTTGCCACCAGAGGCGGCTAGTTTATTGTGCACCCCATACTCATACTGTGAGCGGTAGCGCAAAAAGCATTATAGAGGGCACAAAAGGTCTTTATCAGACCTCATCTTAAATTATTACATAAACAATTCCATCTATCCTTCACACCTTATAGTTACATGTCAGCTAGTTACAGAAAATGTTCTATTTCAAGAGCTATATATTTACAGTAAGTCATTATACATTAATGGTAGGTCTTATCGCTAATACATAATTGTTTGAACAATGGAGATATAGAGTCATTGGGGAGCTGTTGTTTATTAATAGTCTTCACAATACACTACTCGTTTCTTAATCTCATATGTCGTTTATCTACTGGAAGCGAAATATGGATACATTGCAAGGATTTCAGGTATTTTACCCTTGGTAATAAGATAGGTAGCTAGATCATACAGCGTGAGTTTAGATTTATCTCTAAATGCCTAAATTTTACTACAGTCCAAGATATAGTGTTCAAGTGTGTGCCCCTGTCTTTGTCCACACACTATTCACTTTACTTCATCTAGATCCCTATACAAGCCGAACTGCCAGAGATACTTGTAGCCAAGTCTTGTTCGAGCTGTGACAACATCTGTTAGTCTACTGACTTCGTTACTTGCCCCATACACATGTTTTACTTCACACATTTCATTGTGATGAACAATGGACCTGCTTGTTCCAGTTTGCACTGTTCTACTTTCTTCAAATCCATCCAGGAGTTCTCGTCTAATGACCCTTTTAAGGGACCAATTTGATAACTCAAGATTCCGTTCAATACTGTCTTTATTTACTGCAGTCGTAGCAAGGGTGTCAACTTTATCTTGTTCCTACAAGCCAATGTGAGGAATCCACAACATTTTTATATTTACCCTCTTGCTAAGTATGCTTATATATCTACGTCTAGCTTCTGAGACACGCACGTTATAACTTGATTGCAAACTGTTTACTACTAGAAGTGAGGAAAGGGAGACGGAAATAATTAAGCTGTCTACTTCAGTGTTGTCAATAATTTCGACTGCTACCAGTATTGCTACCAACTCAGCTTGCATTGTGGATGCCCAGTTACTAATTCATATATTCCTTTGAATTGTGCTTCTATCGGGCTGATGAGCAATAACAGCACTTCTTGCCCTCCCTTTTCAGTTTGTATATTGTGCATGTGTTCTATGGTGCTTAATTTAGCAGTAAGCTGAGCATGAGGGGTTGTTTGTGATTAGTTTCTTGGTGGGGTATGCAGGCGTCAGGATGTCAAAAGGTACTATCTGTCAGGGTGGAAGGAAGTGCTGTACTCTTTCATCTGTATATAAATCGCCCAGTCACATCATTTTAAATTAATATGAGTGGCTGTTCTTTGAATCCAATTAGATTCGCTTGTTCCATTTCGAATGTGTTCTAACAGTTCAACTGACACAATGTTGTTTTTGTTATTACGCAGAAGCTTTAGTCTCATCATAAGATTAATTTCAAATATTCTATCTCGAATGCTAGATATATTAATTTTTTTCAGTATATTGAGAACTTAGAACTTAGGTAGTTATAGGACAGCCAAGTATAATTCTAAGTGCTTCATTTTGCATTTTTTTCAGTCTATCAATACCTTTGCAATTTTGCAGAACTAAAGCTGGTGCAAGATAGTCTATCAGCCATGCATGTTCGTAAAGGTCCTGATAATACAGTCGGGCTCGTTCCCTCCTCGCATTCGGAATTTCCGGGATCGAATCCTGGCCGGGAGAAAAATGGTTGGCCATGTTTCCCATCACCTAATGCATCTGTTCATCTAATAGAAAATAGGTTAAAACCTATTTTCAGGTTTCTAACCATTAAACCTAACCCAGGACCTGGCCAGTTTGCTGCCGGGTTGCATCCTGGGCGAGGTCACGAGTTCCACCTTGTGGGGGATCTCGATATAAGCCTTTACACACACACACACACACACACACACACACACACACACACACACACACACACACACACACACACACACACACACACACACACACACACACACACACACACAATGACACGCCAGACCTGTCTCCTGCAGCACATATAAAGAGAATAACATCAGCGGCATATGCCAGGCTGGCCAACATACGAACGGCATTCAGAAACTTGTGTAAAGAATCATTCAGAACTTTGTATACCACATATGTCAGGCCAATCCTGGAGTATGCAGCTCCAGCATGGAGTCCATATCTAGTCAAGGACAAGACTAAACTGGAAAAGGTTCAAAGGTTTGCCACCAGACTAGTACCCGAGCTGAGAGGTATGAGGTACGAGGAGAGACTACGGGAGTAAACCTCACTTCGCTGGAAGACAGAAGAGTTAGGGGGGACATGATCACCACATTCAAGATTCTGAAGGAAATTGATAGGGTAGATAAAGACAGGCTATTTAACACAAGGGGCACACGCACAAGGGAACACAGGTGGAAACTGAGTGCCCAAATGAGCCACAGAGATATTAGAAAGAACTTTTTTAGTGTCAGAGTGGTTGACAAATGGATTGCATTAGGAAGTGATGTGGTGGAGGCTGACTCCATACACAGTTTCAAATATAGATATGTTAGAGCCCAATATGCTAAGGAATCTGTACACCTGTTGATTGACGGTTGAGAGGCGGGACCAAAGAGCCAGAGCTCAACCCCCGCAAACACAACTAGGTGAGCACAACTAGGTGAGTATACATACGTAGGAACATTGTGTTGTCACGTGAGCAACACAATGCTGCTCACGTGACCCCATAACGTGAGTTGATTTGATGAAATAACTATGCTCCAGATTACCACCAAGTGCCGTCGAGCCGGTGGGGGAAATAGTCTCGGCCACCATCATCTTTTTACGGTCACGGTTGGTCGAGGGGTTAAGGCACCATGTTCACCAGTTGCATTGTGCGCCTGGCAGTCTGGGTTTGAGTCACTTCTGGGGTGTGGAGTTTTCAGTCGCATATATGCTTGGGGACCATTCAAGCTTGTTTGCATGTGTGTTGCTCACTTGGCCCCACAAAGTGAGGTGATTTGATGAAATAACTATACACAAGATTACCACCAAGTGCCGTCGGGACGGTTATCTTCTTGAGGTTATCTTGAGATTATTTCAGGGCTTAACGGCCCCACGGCCCTGTCTTCGACCTGGCCTCCTTTTAGTTACACCCCCCCCCCCCAGAAAGCAGCCCGTAGCAGCTGTCTAACTCCCAGGTACCTATGTACTACTAGGTAACAGGGGTACCAGGGTGAAAGAAACGTTTTCCCCTTTTGTCTCTGCCTTCACCGGGGATCGAACCCGGAACCTCTGGACTACGAATCCGAAGCGCTGTCTACCCAGCTGCCAGGCGCTCAGTTGGGTGGGTGGGAGAAATAGCCTCAGTTACCATCGTCTTTTGTACGGTCACTGTTGGTCGAGTGGTTAAGGCACTATGTACACCAATTGCATTTTGCTCCTGGCTGTCTGGGTTCAAGTCACTTCTGGGGTGTGGAGTTTTCAGTCACATATATATATATATATATATATATATATATATATATATATATATATATATATATATATATATATATATATATATATATATATATATATATATATATATATATATATATATATATATACATATATATTAGTATATTTTGGTAGGAGTCTTTCCTGTAGACATATATTATTAAATATGACCGAAAAAGTAAGATTAATAATTCTAACACGAATTTTCTCAATCTTTCGTACATTTCTTTTCACTGTTGGTGGTAATTCAAAAATCAATCCTCCAAAATTCATTTTTATTTCTAGTCTGACGCGACACTTGAGCGCGTTTCGTAAAACTTATTACATTTTCAAAGACTTTAGTTTAAACATACGCAACTGAATAGAACTTACACATCTCCGATTTGTTTATATCTACATTTGAGTGAGGTGGATGGGGTGAGGTGGTATTTAATAAGGTATTAATTTCATCAACACAAGACAGAACACGAAACAATGGGTATTGAATAGAAGTGATTGTAGAAAGCCTATTGCTCCATATTTCTTGATGCTTCTATATTGGAGCGGAGTCTTGAGGTGGGTAGAATATAGTTGTGCATTAATTGGCTGTTGATTGCTGGTGTTGACTTCTTGATGTGTAGTGCCTCGCAAACGTCAAGTCGCCTGCTATCGCTGTATCTATCGAGGATTTCTGTGTTGTTTACTAGGATATATATATATATATATATATATATATATATATATATATATATATATATATATATATATATATATATATATATATATATATATATATATATTGGTGTATACTGGCAGCAGGTTTTCTTCCAAACATGTTTCATTGAATATGACCGCATATTCTGTATTTATTATTTTCTGGTTTAGGGCTTCTATCCCTCTAACTATTTTCTTAGCATCAGGGCTTAATTGAAATAGGAGTTCTCCAAAACTCATTTTCGTACTTTTAAGGTGAAGAAAAGAAGTGATTTACTATAGAGTGTATTACACTTATTTGTATAATTTGCACGACGTTTCGAACCTCCATAGTTCATTCTCAAGTGAACAGATCTTACAATACTAGTTGATTTTATACCCGCATTGGGTCAGGTGATAATACAATAAAGGTGAAAACATGGGGATACATAAGGGATAAACATAGGGGCTGCAGAAGGCTTATTGGCCCATACGAGGCATCTCCTATCTAAACACAAAGATTAATCCAGTGTAATTGGCCTGTTATGTTGGACATTGTCTTCTGTGTTGGCATCGATATGTTCTTGTCTTGTCCTTACTCTCATGGTGGGTAGAGTAAATAGTTCCGTGATTTGGGTGTTCATGGTAGGTCGCTCTATTCTTATGTGAATTGCCTCAATTCACATAAGAATTAATTCTTGAGGCAATT